ACCACAATGAGATTTATAACCACTACATTGACAAATTTAATAAGTCTAATGACACTAAATGTTGGAGAAAATGTAAGTCAGTGAGAACTCCTATACTTTTCTTATAAAAATGAACATCTATACAGTTCAGGATACAAGGATTCTAGTTCAAAGTATATAACCTAAAGAAATTCTGGCAAAAGATGAATAAAAGGCTGTTCATAGGCCACTCTTCATGATAGCAAAGGAAGAAAATGATCTGCAGGGTGGCACCTGTGACTCAATGAGTAGGACGCCGGCCTCATATACTGAGGGTGGCAGGTTCAAACCTGGCCCCAGCCAAACTGCAACAAAAAATAGCTGCGCGTTGGGGTGGGTGCCTGTAGTCCCAGCTACTCAGGAGGCTGAGGCCAGAGAATCACCTAAGCCCAACAGCTGGAGGTTGCTGTGAGCTGTGATGGCACAGCACTCTACCGAGGGTGACAAAGTGAGACTGTCTCTTAAAAAAAAAAGAAAATGATCTGCAGCACACGTAGCTCATGTCTATAATCCCAGCACTCAGGGAGGCTGAGGTGGGTAGATCAACTAAGCTCAGGAGTTGGAGAACAGCCTGAGGAAGAGGGAGGCCTGTCTCTACTAAAAATAGAAAAACTAGCCGTTGTGGTGGGCACCTATATTCCCAGCTACTTGGGAGGCTGGGACAGAAGGCTTAAGCCCAGGAGTCTGAGATTGCAGTGAACTATGATGACACTACTGTACTCCATCCAGGCAACAGAGTGAGACCGTATCTTAAAAAAAAATCCTTTTTGTTTAAAGACACTATAGGAGAGGGAAAATACAAACCACAAATTGAGATAAGATCATTGCAACACATGAAACAACAAAAGATTACTATTCAGACTATATAAAGAACACATTCAAAACAATAAAGAAAAAAGAACCCAAAGAACTCAGTAGAAACTTGGGCAGAAGACATGAACAGAAATTTCACAGAAGATGAAATACAAATGACCAATAGACATGAAAAGGTATTCTATTGTATTTGTAATAAGTATAAGTCATATTAAGACCACAATGAGGCTCGGCGCCTATAGCTCAACCGGCTAAGGCGCCAGCCATGTACACC